CCCCCCACTAATTCTGACAAAGAAGTGATTATGACAGAATGGGTTGCTATCAGTAAGGATTTCGCACAGAAGCTGATTGAGAGCATGCCCAGTCGAATTGCAGAAGTGCTGAAAAAGAAGGGCCAACACTGCAAATATTGACTCTTTGCATAAATGTCATGTAATTGTTGATAAAAGCCTTTGAACGTATGAAGTGCTTTTCATTATATTTCAGTACATCACAGAAACAACTGGGACAAAGATCTGAAAGCAGTCTAGCAGCAAACTTTGTGAAAACTAATATTTGTGTCATTCTCAAAACTTTTGGCCACGACTGTATTTTGTGTCTTTTTTTTTTAAATATCTGCATGTAAGAGTTTTAGATGTATAACATATTTAATTTAATGAACATGGTTTGTCATGAAAGAAAAGTGTATTCTAAAGACTTCATATGTCTACTTTTATGGTTTAAATGAAACAATATGAAGATAAAACTAGTCTTGTCAACCTTTACCTAAATAATAGCCTTGGACCTTTTTTCAATATCATGATATTTCTTGGACTTTTCTTGGACTTCTTGGATATTTCTTGGATTTTCTTGGACCAACTGCTTAATTTGCCTCAAGTCAGCCGTCAGCTGCTGGTGATCGTAAGAACGATGTCTGAAGTACGTTTGACTGAGCGGTCTGTGATGCTGAGGAAGTTGCAACATTCCAACAGTCCACAGCTGCAGAAGCGGCTAGAAAGAGTCTCTTATAGAGTCGTGAGATAAAGAAGAAGTTATTCGACAGCAAGACGGGCAGTGACACACAAACTGCTATACAGACATGTCTGACAAAGAGCTTCTACCGGGTAAGGACATTTAAACTCACTTTTTCAATGTACATTTAAATATGACATAAAAAAAGATATTTCCAATGTCTAATCTGCTACATTTGGATAAAAAAAAATACAACAACGCAATCTTAATGTTCAGGAGAACATAACTCTATGTCAACTTCATGTCAAAATCCCAGAAAATTGATTTTGTTCATCTGGACGTTGTGTTTGTCCAGATGAACAGAATGAACTTTTGGGGATTTCCTTACCTGGGTGATTGAGCATGCATTAAGAGAATTTGGCTAAAATATTAATTATTTTCTTTCACAATGACTATTTGAAAGCAAAAAACTAAAACTAGAGAAAAGAAAGTTTTAGCTTTTTAGCACAATTGGTGAGAAGAACATCTGTACAGGTTTCATGTTCACAGTTCAAACAGGTAATAGCAAGCATGCATGTTATCCAAATTTAATTTGATACACTACTACATGGAAAAGGAGTTCATATTAGTTTCTCTGTAATAATTAAATAAATACATATTCCATAAAATTCCCCTTGTGCCCCTGCAGGTGGTCTGTCCTTCAAGCTCGGGTCCTCTACCAGAGGCCTGGGAGCTTGAGAGTTCTGCATAGTATCTTAGCTGTTCCTAGGACTGCGGTCTTCTGGACAAAGATCTCAGATGTTGTTCCTGGGATCTGCTGGAGCCACTCACCTAGCCTAGCTTGGGAGTCACTAGGGCTGCTCAATTAATCGAATTTTAATTACGATTACGATCTGGGCTTTCAACGATCATTAAAAGTGACTGAGCCGATTATTAGCCCCTCCCTCGTGCTTTACTCTCGCGCTGCTCCGTGTGGCAAATCGAGCCACCTCTCATTTTGAATACGCGTCACAACCCAAGGGAAGCTCGGAAAGCTAAGCAGAAGTTATTTGGAGAGGAGAGTGACTGCCGTTGGTTGAAAAGAGAGGTAAAAAAAACAAAAAACTTCAGTGGTGTGGAAACATTATGGGTTCACGGAGTCAGACGTGGATCAAGTAGACATAGTGTGCAAACTTTGCTACGGTGTCGTAGCTGCACCACAGAGCAACACTGCAAAGTTCACTAAACATAGATGTTTACATTTTTCATTTATTTCTTATATTGCAAACATTTGCACTGTTATCAGTATTTACACACTATTTTATATAATTTTTTTAAAGTCATTATTCAATACATTGTTATTGTTAACCCTTTAAAGCCAGTCAGAGCAACACGCTCCGTTTTGCATAAATATTTTTAAATCCCTGTAGAACCAGAACCGTGTAAGCTAGCGCAATAATTTTTTTTTTGCATATGAAACCAGAGGAGTTGTACTTACATCTTATGCCATCAGCTTGTCCT